GTACGAACTCGTGTTGCTGCCAAGGGGCAACTCCAGCCCGATCTTGCTATTATTGACAACGGCGAGGCTGGCATGAATCATTGGAGGAGACTGTGCGCAATGCGGAGAAGGCCATGATGCGGACTTTGCTCCTGTCTTGACAACGGTCGATACGAAAACCTTCCGGTGGCATCGTGATAGTCGATGCGTCGGCTCTCCCTATACAGTCTGTGTTCTTTCAAAGGCCTCAATACGTGGCTATAGACATGGATGGACATGAGTCGATAAACGGAAGACTATTAATAACCATCGGCTTTAACGTCGTCGCCGATGAACATGGGATAACGTTTTGACAAGTATTAGCAGGAGAACATCAATTTGGCAAGAAGACAACACAGACAGAGCGAGGCTCGCTTTCGCGCAAGGCATTCTCATAATAATGCTTTGGGGACTGCATGTCACTGATGTGCATGTGTTGCATCGAGATCGAAAACACCTGTATGGTTTTTGGATATGCGGTGGAACATGCGGGCTGGAACTGGCGCGCGTTTCTTGCTAGCTTGCTAGAGAAATGCAGACTCGGTTCTCACATAAAGCGGAGGTTGCGGATTTTGGAGAAAGCGAGGTCAAGATTGAGGTGTAGACAACGCAGAAGGCGGAGAGTGGAGAGAAGGCTTTGTACTCTTTCGCCACAGTTGTTCTATACTCGCACGCTCTCATGCTATCTATGCATACGCCTTTTCGCCCAAGCAACACTGTCGCCCAAGTTAAGGCATACAGACTTTGATCTTAGTGTAATAGAGACACGAGTCTTATTTTGAGGCATTGTCTGTGAACTTGGCCGAAACATTTCATAATCGGTTTCCATCTCTTTTTCTTGTTGGACAGCTCGCACATAAACATTGTGCCTGTATCTTTCGATGATCGCAAGCACCGCTGAAATAGAGAAGCAACGGAAGACGGTGATGAGGGATCTTTTGTACTGAAAGCCTGCGAGCCGCCGCGTGGAATGTATCTTGCGTTGCCTGTAATTCTCATGTAATCTTTGCAGGGGTGTTTGGAAATACCCCGAGATAACATAGTACTAAACATGGAGAACAAGATATCGTCTGGATTCGGTATTTGAGAGTGTTGTAGAATGGTAAACCCCGCTGGTGGAGGCAACACATCAAATCGACACATTCGATTTTGGGAAGAGGTGGAAGGACCGCAGGACATACGCAGTAGAGGAGTCGATTTCAGAGAAAATACCACATCGCAACTCGATGTTATCGTTTTGGAAAAAGTCACTTTTGCTGTTGTGACAGAATGTTCTGGGAAAGAAGAGTTGTAGTAAGCAGAGAGGGTATTTATACCCCTTTTCTAGCTCTTTCCCGGCTCATATACCGTTCACGTTCAGACTTTCAGTTGCCGAAAAGCTGTCATAGCCCAGATGAATGCTTCTGCAGCGGCATACGGTGCTTGTGATAATGGTTGGAGCAGAACACCAAACAGCGGTCATAGCTGTGGCGTAGCGAATGTTTGAGTAGTAGAATCCGGCCAGCAAAGCGCTCCGCCAACATTTGTCGGTAATAGTAAAATTTTAAGTAGAGCTGTGCGCTCGGGTTCTTCTCATGTCTCTGCCAGCACTCCGTTTTGGAAAGAGGAAGAAGGCGGTAGAGTTGAAAGTCGCTGGAAGGGAGGAAAGCAGCTCTCTTTTATATTGTGGACTCCCGCTAAGAGCCCCAATCATGGGAAACCACCTACTGGTTTTGGGTATGTGGAGCTATTTCATTGCGTGAAATGTTATCGTAGGACTTTGATTGCAGTCATGTACTGGTTCTGCAAGATTTTCAGGGGAACCTTGGAAGGCTCATGATAGACATAGATCTTGTTTTCGATATCCAGGAAGGAGGGGGGAAAGACATGGAACTTTAGATCCCACTTTTTGATAGACAGAAACCACAGGTGCAACACATCAGTATGACACTCATGCGTTTTTGTTCCCGCGAGGGATGAATAGTGGATTGAAAGAGAAGTAAAAGATCGGCGAAAGACGGGTCATATAGACACTCGCGAAGCGCGTAACCAGAAGAAGAAGAACCATTGGCTAGTCTTTCGTTCTTTTTTTTAGAGGCAGGTAGCTGTGGCCATCCTGGTGAGCCGATAACTTTCAGTCCAACCGCCGATTTGGAAAGGCGGGCAGACGCCGAAAAGTCATTGCGCGTTGTAGTATTTCTTGTCGTTGGACGAGAGAAGGCGCGACAGAACTCCATAATAGTGTGTGAATGGGACTTTGGAAGAGAAGCAGGACAAACCCATACTCTTTTGGTAATGAGGTTTTGATAAGAGGTAGGACTGGTATGTTGGAGTAAGAAAGAAGAGAAGGAAAGCAGCAGTAGATAGCTTTTATACAAGCGAGAGCAGTCCATGTTCATTCTCGTCAATTAATTGTGTGACACGCGTCTCAGCACCCTCGATCATGGGGGTTCCGTATGCGTCTTTTGGTAAAGAGCAGAGCAAGTGCTCACTCACTCCATGCACCACTATTTTCTGGTTTTTGAACTGCAGGCTCTGTCGCAACAAAGAACACATCATGCTAAGTACGGCAGTTTTGTAGGAGATCATACAAAGTGATCCGGTTTGGTTCGGCGCATACAGACGATGCCGGCAAGTTTTGGGAATGGTGGAAGGCGACCTTGGGAAGGCGAAACATGCGCGCGGACGGTCGCGCTTTTGGAAGTTGACACGCAGGACATGCCTGTCTCGCAGGATGTTTTCGATTTATTAAAGCCCCTTCTTCAATCTTTTCATATAAAAAAATGGAAGCTGGTCTTTGGTACTTGCAAAAAGTATTGATATGAAAGAGGAGAAGTGCAGTGGGGTGAGAATTGAGACTTTTCTGCTGGAGCAGAGCCATGCGGCAATGCCTTGCATGTTTTTGGAAGGACTGAATCTGGTGAGACGGCACTTCTTTCGGTGAGCTCATGGAAAAGTGGCCTGTTCTTTTTTCGATGAAGAGAAACCCAAGGGAAGTTCTGGAAGGAAGATATGCGTCATTTCGCAGTCCTCGGATGTAATTTGTAGGCGTTTGATGAGCAGAAGAAACATGCCCGGAGACTCTGCATTTTTGGAAGAGATGCGGAAGGCAAGACGCAACTCATGCATACGGCTGTTCATCATTTTGGAAAGATGAGTACGAAGTGCATAGGAGAGAGCAGAAGCACAACGACCAGAGAGAATTTATATAGACATAGACAGCCAAGACGGGACGATGAAAAGTGATGTAGAAGTCCAGCATTCTTCCCCCACTCAGAGCAGTCTAAACACCTACAAATGCCGCTCAACGTGATCACATAACGCAAGCAGACGCTACCCACACAATGAATGACATGACGTGATATCTAATCGCTCAAAACGCCCTCGACGCCGGGTATAACGCTTCAAGTTCCATCGTTCAAATCTACGGCCCGCCCTTTGGAGACTGACGGAATTCCACAAAATTGTATGGTTGTGCACTTACGCCAACGTAGCGACCCTGTTTGGGATCGTACACGGCGTGCACACTGACTGTTATCTTCGCTCGCTCGCCGTATACCTCGACGAGGCCCATCACCACGAAGGCGCCGCGCGGGACCGGGTGTGGGTACGGTTTGAACGTTCTGCGAAAGTCGGCCTGGAATTGCGACAGGTCTAGTGTGAACTTTTTGGGATCGATTGTGACGCGGTCGAGATCCTTGGTAGCGCCGTCGACAGGTGCGACAGAGGGCGACGCACCTGGCTGCTGGGTAGGTGTCGCAGACGTGGAGAAAGGCCTTGAAGGGACGCTCGTCGTGGGGTTCGCCGATGATCGCGGGTTGGCGCTTATTCTCTGAACGAGCTCCTGGACGGTCTCGGTCTTCGATTCTGGACTCCAGCCCATATAGACTTTGAATCCTTTCCATGAGCTTCCTAGTTTGCTCGTTGTGCTGTTGTATATGGCCTTTGCTGCCTCCTTGGGATAGAATAGCCGATTCAGGCGGTGGTGAACAGTGCTGTCGACTGGTCTCATTGCCTTCCGCAACGTTCCATCCTCCAACAGCTCTATCCCGGGCTGTGCGTATTCGTCGGGCGTGGTGTCTGGAAACTTGACCTCAATCCACACTTTGCCTTTGCTCGTGTCGATTTTGCCGGCTTTTGCGACGAGAATTGGGTGCTTGGCGAAAGCGTTGCGTACTCTGTATACTAATTCTCCTGTCACGTTGTCAGTACATGAACGACATGCTCGGCCAAGGATATCGTACCTCGTATCTTGTCAATCCTTGGACGGTCTGTCGCCAGCTTCTTGAACTGTTGCCATTCTGGATCTGACCCTTTCCAAAATCTCTTCGGCTGTAGCCTCGAAAAGCCGGTGGGTATGAATAGTATAGGGTCGTATTCTTCGTCGTCGTCTTCGTCTTCATCGTCTGCTTCTCGGCCGACCGTTGTCCACCCGCCGTCGTTGGCCTCTTCAACTTCAACACTTATGCTAATATATCTCGAGATTCCGTAAAAGGCCAATCCGACTGCGACGGCACCGACTAATCGTCTGTGGACAGTTAGCACGTGGAAAGTACAGGGATGTGTGAAGCGACTCACGACCTGCTGAGGAATGGTCGCCCTATACGCACTCGTTGTATTATGACTCGCTCGTGGCCATCTCGTGCTGCCGATCGGACTATACGCGCATGTGGTATCCGGTTCAAGAGGGAGAAGTTGCGCCGAAGCACCAGTGGCGTAGACATTGGTCTGGCGCTGGCGGAAGCGAGTGTTATGAGAATGAGGATCGCAAGATCAAGTAGAGAGACATTTAGGTCTTTCTGAAACAAAGAATGCGCGTGAAGCTGTGCAGCGTAAACAAGTGAATGCGGTTGATAGCGCCCCACGGGTTGTATCACTGATAGTTGCGGGCGGAGGTGAGGCAGGTTCGGCGCTAGTTCCGTCTAGGTCGCAGCGCAGCTCAGGATGGCGATGATGCACCTGCATCATCGCGGAACGTCCTCAACTCCATCCTCACCGCCACCATGAAGCTATCCGGCGCCTTTGTCGCCTCATCGCTGTACTGCACCGTCCTTGCAGCTCGCCCCACCGTCAGTCCCGAGACTGCGCGTCTGATCATTGCCCAGCGCCTGGGCCTATCGCGATTCCACTCTGTCGAGCACCCCGACGCCGAGACAATCAGACACATCAACACGTACGGAGGAAGGCACCAGAAGCTGTTTGGCGCAGACGATGCAGAGCAATCCAAGGCGCACCTGCTGATGTGGGTGGAGGGCGCCGAGCAAGATGAGGCAACAGGTGGGCATACGTGACGACAGCATCGCGAAGGATACGACTAACCCGAGCTCTCAGTCATCATCAACGATGGATCAGACCGCACACACGACTTTGCGATATCGAGTGCGCCATCTATCGAAGACAATGAGCGCCTGGTCATGGACTTCATAGCACAAGCCAAGTCGCTGCCGGCACTCTCAGACCCCCAGCAACGGACATACACGTCCAACTTCGACATTGAGTCGGCGCTCCCACCGAACGAGAAGTCGGACGCTTACAATGGCTACCTCAACATCTGGACCACCGGCGCGAAAGACGACCTATCGACCGAGCAGATTGCCCAGGTGCTGAGCAGCGTCAACAAGAAGGCCGAGGAGACGGGTTTCTCCACGACTGTCGTCATGATGCCGCGTTCAGCCAAGTCCAAGTCCAAGCGCGCTGCCCAACCGTGGGGCGCCTACGATGTCCCCTCCAAGGAGGCCCGCCGCCAGAACCCCGAGGCAATCCTCTCCTCGCAGCCCGTACCTGCTGTCTCCAAGGTGCCTGACCTTGAAGACTTCCCCGTCGTCATTGCGGCCGACAACAAGAAGGGACCTGTTCGCGGTATCCTTCCTAGCTGCTTCAAGTCCATGTCGGCTTGCGAGACTCAGACCCACAACTGCTCCAGCCACGGCGAGTGCAAGCTCCTCCACAAGGGACGTGGATCCGGTTCTGATCAGGAGACAATTGACTGCTATGGATGCGCCTGCGCCGCTACGGTCGAGCACAAAGACGGAAAGGGTATGGAGGGCCAGAGGAAGGTCACCTACTGGGGCGGCCCCGCCTGCCAGAAGAAGGACATCTCGGTTGAGTTCTGGCTCTTTGCCGGTGCCGGTGTCACTCTGGCATTCTTGATCTCTGCTGGTATTGGTATGCTCTACAGCATGGGTGCCGAGGAGCTGCCCAGTGTTATCGGTGCCGGTGTCAGCGGTCCCACAAGGAAGTAAGGGGTTGCTAGATGTATGAAGTGGTGGAGATAAGAGGGAGACGGAAGATCGAGCATTGTATATCTGGTGTACGACAGACAGTCTTTGTTAGTTAGCAGTATGGGGCTTGTACTCTATGGGATAATGGCGTTTATAGCACTGCAATTTAGCATTTGAACAAGTTGATACAAGTTTGACAGAGTTGATCATCTGCTAAAGTCCACTAATTCGACTGCAAGCGATGATGATAATATGTTGGTTCGCTCACGTAGCTACTGATGTGTGGCTGTCCAGTATGCCTGTCAGATGTCTCAGTCGCCATGTTCCTGAATACATCAAAACTGAACGGCTGAGACACATCACAGGCGTAATGGATAGCTACACAAATGCTACAAAGGCCATGACCCTATACATATTCAGTAACCCCATGTTCGATACCTAGAAATAAACGCATCCATCATTACAGCTTTACACTCCTCATGCCTTGGCCTTCTCCACTATTACACCATCGTCGCTCTTGGCCTTCTCCTCGTCCAACTCCTTCATGAACTCGGACTGGATGCCAGCCCTGCGATTCTCCCACCACTCCTTTTCCGCTGGTGCCTTGGCTGTGATCTCACCGAGACGCTCGCGGATGTGGTTGTTCTGTGCCATTTCTGAAGCGGATTGGAAGATGGTCTGGCCCCAGTTCGGTGCAAAGGCATTGGCCTGTCTCAATGTCAGTCATGCTCAAAGAATTGCGAAGCCACCCGACTTCAATCTATACTCTCTAGACTCACCTCGTTGACGACATCCCTGAGTTCCTCCTCAATCTCCTTCTCTGCCCGCTGGAACCGCTGCCACAGATCATCGCCCACGCTACCCCTCTGCAGCAATGCCTGCAGCGCCTGCTTGGCGTTTCTTATCTGTACAATCCTATGTATGTCCTCTGTTGCGCGACGCAATAGCGCAGCCTTGAGTACGCTGTCCGGCACCTTGGGTTCGTCCATGTGTAGTAGGGAGAGGTAGACATTGCGCTGGAGATGTGTGGGGAACCAGGGTTCGAGGGATGCGGCGTTCGCGGCTTGACGCTTGCGGTAGAGGTTGGTGAAGACAGTGAATGATCCGGCGAGGATACCGATGTAAGCGATGGGCACGGTAAGCATTACCCAGTCGACCATGTCGAAGGGCCACATGGTGAATGTTGTGTGGGTTGTGTGTGCTTTGTTTGCGCGGAATGTGAAGAGGTATGACAAGCTCGGGATGCGATGCAGGCGCTGACGTTAGAATATGAAGAAGCGACGGTGTTCTCAGTAGTGAGATATGGGGTAGGTGAAGACCAAGAGGGAGGGCAAGTCGCTGTTGTCTCACTTATCGATACATTCGAATATCTGTCCAGTTCCGCGCCAGACTAGCGTCCTTCTAGCGCGTCTGCGTCATCCATGTCCGCTCCGCTACAGGCGCCTTCTCGAATCAATCACCAACACCAACCAAGGTTCACCACTGCACCTCGCCTTTGTCTACTTATTTCTTCCGGTCGCGCTTCCCTCCCAAATCTCCTCCCTATACCCTACCACCAGCATCACCTTTATCCACTCCACCACGAAATTCATAGCGTTCCGATCATGATATTGAGGGTATGTCTTTATGCCCAATGCAGGTGATATCTTACTAATTCGCACCAGTTCGTTAGCAAAGACGGTCAGTTCCGGTTGACGGTACAGCCCGAGGACACCTTCTCGTCGATTCTGCCCCAGGTTGCCGAGAAGCTGCCCAAGAATGTCGACATCCAGAGCATCAGTGTTAGCAACAAGCCGCAGGGAGGCGACGCGAGGAAGCTTGCTGGCCTTGAGGGCGTGAGCTTCAAGCAAGTGGGACTATCGTACGTAGCTTACCCAAGCTTGTCTTCACAGCTAATGATACTATAGAAACGGCGCGCAACTCTTCCTATCCTTCGAGGAGCAGTCTGCGGCACCGAATGGCCATGCTGCACCTTCGACCGGCGGCGCACGACTGAATGGCAAACCCGTCGAAGAGACCAACATGGGCTCCGTTCCCATCGGCGATGCTTTGCAAACTATAAAGAACCCATGGGAGGTTGTCAGGCAGTCCCCGCTCGACGACAGGCTAGATAGACAGGATGGCAAAATCCCCAGGAAACGCGACGCCCGCATGTGTTCCCACGGGCCCAAGGGCATGTGCGACTACTGTATGCCCCTCGAACCCTACTCGCCCGCATACCTCGCCGAGAAGAAGATCAAGCACCTCTCCTTCCATTCATACCTGCGCAAAGTCAACTCGGCGAAGAACAGACCAGAGCTCGGTAGCTCGTACATGCCACCGCTGACCGAGCCCTACTACCGCGTACGCCCCGACTGTCCATCGGGACACAAGCCATTCCCAGAGGGTATCTGCACCAAGTGCATGCCTAGCGCCATCTCGCTGAAGCCACAAGAGTACCGCATGGTAGACCATGTCGAGTTCGCTTCGATACAGGTGGTGGACGATGTGATCAACTTCTGGAGACAAACGGGCTGTCAGCGACTGGGCTTCTTGTACGGCAGGTACGAGGAGTATACTGAGGTGCCGCTGGGAACAAAGGCTGTTGTCGAGACCATCTATGAGCCACCGCAAGTCAATGAGGCGGACGGTATCTCGCTAGGCGAATGGGACAACGAGAAGGAGATTGACGAGATTGCCGCACAGTGTGGGCTGCAACGCGTCGGTGTGATCTTCACTGATCTCCTCGACGCGGACAAGGGCGACGGCTCTGTCATCTGCAAGCGTCATATGGACTCGTACTACCTTTCCTCCTTAGAGATCTGCTTCGCAGCACGGTACCAAGCAAGATACCCCCGGCCTTCCAAGTGGAGCGATACTGGACGACACGGATCCAACTTTGTAACGTGTGTAATCAGCGGCGATGATCAAGGTCAGATTGGCATCTCGTCGTACCAGGTTTCGAACGACGCCGTCGAGATGGTCCGCGCAGACATCATCGAGCCCTCAGCCGAGCCATCAGTCATGCTTGTTCAGTCGGAAGAAGACAATGAAGCCTTGAATCGCGCGCGGTACATCCCTGAAGTTTTCTACAGAAGAATCAACGAACACGGTGCGAACGTACAAGAGATTGCCAAACCCGACTTCCCCGTGGAATATCTGCTTCTCACACTAACACACGGATTCCCTACTCAGCCAAATCCTCTCTTCACTGGTGGCAAGTTCCCGATCGAGAACCGCGAGGCTATGGGCGAGATGCCAGAGATTTCACATCTTGGCAAAGCTCTCAACGCCAGAGCGAACGGGCTGGCGCTCAACACGACCAGCGGCCTCAATGCCATTTCCAATTTCCACATGCTATGCTTTATCCATAACCTCGGCATTCTGTCAAAGGTGCGTCACTGCAAAACTGCATGGATATGATGCTAACTGTACGACTAGGACGAAGAGTCACTGCTCTTCAAGGTAGCATCAACGCACGACACCTCAGAAGGCTCAGCGCTCCAACATACCGGAGGCTGGGCAACCCTTCTGACCATTCTCAAAGAAAGTGGTGAGCGCCCCCCGAAACGTTCCTATCAATCTTCGCCCCAATCCAAGTCGGCCAGTAGGGGGGCTGCAGCCTTAGACCACACCCGCGGTACGATGCGACAGTCCTCCTATGGCTCAGATTCCGATTCAGTACAGTTGGCTAAGAGGGTAAAGGGGGTTAAGCTTGGGAAGTAGATTAGTCTAGGCTAGTCACACTCCTGGGGCGCGACCTCTGACACCATAGGTCTGTAACCCGAGCGACAATGGAAAGGCTCATGAAGCCTGGAAGTAGTGGGCATACTGGTGGAGTTGAGGAGCTAGGTATGAGCGGAGGTGCATGCATTGCCTGGCGTCGTCGCAGATTTCTAGCATCTGGTGATCGGTCGAGAGGAAATCAGGGTGTGCAATATATCCGTTGAACTGTGTTTTTGACATCTTCTGCCGTGAGACATGTCTGAAGGTATAGCTTGCTCTATGTGAATCGCTCAACCTATCTGATTTGTTAATATAGACGTTGTTATGGAAATATCTGTACGGTCTTTGAAACTTTTGAGCATGATTGAGGATTGGCGAACTGCTTTGTATGCCGCGATGATGATGTGATTAGAGAAAGAAGACGTGGTCTGTGCAGAAACGTGAGTTCGCGGTCTCGCGTCGACGCGTCGCACTTTAGCAGTCCAGCTCAACATCCCAACCTCGACACCTCAAACTCCACACAACCACCACAATGGCCGATTTCTTCAACGTAAAAGCGAGGCAGCAAGCCGCTGCAAAGGCCAGCTCATCAAAAGCGCCTACGACGAAGCAAGAGCCCAATCGCATGCAGCCATGGGTTGAGAAATAGTACGAACGCAGCACCTAAGCACACCATTCCGCACCCATACTAACAGCATCACAGCCGCCCCAAAACCCTCTCCGAAGTAACAGCCCAAGACAACACCATCCAAATCCTGTCCCGCACGATGCAATCCTCCAACCTCCCACACATGCTCTTCTACGGCCCGCCAGGCACAGGAAAAACCTCCACGATCCTCGCCCTCGCCAAAGAACTCTACGGCCCCGAACTCATGAAGTCGCGCGTCCTCGAACTGAACGCCTCAGACGAACGCGGCATCAGCATCGTGCGTCAAAAAGTCAAGGACTTTGCGCGCCAGCAACTCAGCGTAGCGCCTACCTACAACGTCATGACGGAAGACGCGAGCAGCGGCGAGACAAAACAAGTGCGGTACAGAGACAAATACCCGTGTCCGCCGTTCAAAATCATTGTGCTGGATGAGGCGGATAGCATGACGCAGGATGCCCAGAGTGCGCTCCGTAGGACGATGGAAACGTACAGTCGCATGACGAGATTCTGTCTTGTGTGTAATTACGTCACGAGGATTATCGATCCGCTTGCGTCGAGGTGTTCGAAGTTCCGATTCAAGAGCCTGGATCAGGGAAATGCGGTTAAGCGTGTGGGCGATATCGCGAGGTTGGAGAACGTGCAGTTGGAAGAAGGGGTCGCGGAGGAGTTGGTCAGAGTCGCGGACGGCGATTTGAGAAAGGCGATCACGTTTTTGCAATCCGCGGCGAGGCTCGTGGGCGCTGTCGTACAGGCTCAGGGTGCGGGAGGCAAAAAGAAGAAGAAGGTTGTTGCTGAGGACGACGAGATGGATATCGATTCTGCGGCGGCGCCAGCTCAGACACCTGCTGTTTCCCTCCCTATTATCGCTGAGATCGCGGGTGTGCTACCCCCTGCTACACTATCTTCGTTCAGCGACTCGCTCTTCCCCAAGTCTTCGGCTACCAAGTCGATACGCTACAACGAGATTGCCAAGGTGGTGGAGAATATGATTGCAGAGGGGTGGAGTGCGTCGCAGACTGTGGGTCAGTTGTACGAACAGATCATGTACGATGAGAGGGTTGAGGATGTCAAGAAGGTGAGGCTTGCGGGTGTGTTTAGTGAGACGGATAAGAGGCTTGTGGATGGCGGGGATGAACATCTTGCTGTGTTGGATCTGGGAGTCAGAGTTGCGGGGGTGCTTTGTCTCTGAAGGAGCAATAGCGCTGTCATGGGGTTCGTGTCTCCGTAAAGCATACTGGGTGAAGGGCATAAAGGGACGTATTTGATGGGACAGTAGCACTCATAGTAACGTAGTCGTTTACATGACCAAACAGAAAGCTACATTACATTCGTATCGTATCGCGTGGGGATATCTCAAAAAGGATATACAAAGAATAAACATGCGAAAGCACACGTTGTACTCCCGCTCAAAGCTCGTCGTGTAGCGCTCAGCGCATGGAAGCCATCATCTCGTCATGCGGGGTCGCGCCCAGTCCGCCCAATATCCAGACAAACTCCGCTTTCTACTGCACATACAACTCCGACAAATACCCGTGAAAATATGAAGAAAGAATGCGGACCGATCGCAGCGTAGTTTCGTGAAACATCCAGTAGCGTACATCGTCGTCAGGCTATGCGAAGATGCAAAATCCAGCTCCAACACTGAACATGGCGATAGCAGCCAGTGTCTCCGTCCGGACCGCGAATCTGTTGCCAGTAGACGGTGAGTTCGATGGCGTAGCTGAAGCGCTGGCTGGAGTTGCAGAAGACGCTGTGGGTGAGGCGCTCTCTGAGGGTATTTCAGATAACGAAGGCGACACTACATCGGTGATTGTTGACGCCGACTGCGATGTCTTAGTAAGTGTGGTCTGTGATGTTGACACGGACGTCGTGAGAGAAGTATCGCTGGAGTTGGAAGACGACGACGCCGATAGAGACGCAGATGCAGATGCGATTGCGGAGGAAGACACGGATAGCGACGACAAAGATGATGAGGCAGAAGAGGAAGCACTCACCACCATCGTACCCGTACTCTGCGCCTGACTCACAACATCGGGGCCCGCTTCCGACGTCGCAGCCGCAGCAGCGGGATACAGCTCCGGCAACAGACTCTTGACATCTCCGGGTAATTTCTGGTACCAACCCGGCTCCAGATCGCCTGTTGGCATGGGGGCGTTGGGGCCCGTGGGCATAGCTGTTTTGAGCACTGATAAGACCGAGAGGAGTGTTGGGTTCATGGTTGCGGGATCGATGGCGCGGTCTTGGAGGTTGGGGAATTGGATTGCTGATGCGAAGGCACCGGTGGAGGCGAAGGCCATGAGGATGGAGATGGACTTCATGGCTGTAAAAAGTTGTGCGATTTGGGGTGATTATGGGTGTTCAGATGGGTTGGCGTGGTGTTCGCGTGGCGGGTAAAAGAATGTGGGGCGATTGATTCTTGTTTAGAAGGATAATGAACGAGCGTGGTTCTTCAGCGAGAGCGAGTGTCGTGAATATAGTAGGTTGTTGTTGACAAACAAACGCGTGCAGCGGAGTCACTGCGATGCACGACTGCGAGCTTTTTGCGCAATATGACGTCGAATCGGGCGGGGAAAGAGTGCTCGGTCCCTCTGTTCAGTTTGACCGTTTGGGACGTTGAGAAAAAGAAAGTATCGTTGGGAACCGTTCGGTCAAGTCGTTATGTACCCGGGCTTCCTGAGCCGCCGTAGAAGTAAGAACGGTTGTATGGCGCTTCGCTGGCGAGAATTCGAGATCGCAAGACCGATTGGAACGTGCAAAATTGTCTTTCACTGCGCTTGTAACCGTCTGAAATGGGGCAATACGATGATGGTGCTGCGCGAAGCCGTGTGTACGTCCAATGAGTGACCAAGTGACGAGAAGTTTGATGAGACTCTGTGCGACTGTGCCACAAGAAAATTAAGTGACCTTCTGACGAAGACGCGGGTATGGAAAAAGAAGAAGATACGAGATGCGAGTTCCAGCGCGCTCAAAAGAGAGATAATCAAAGCAGGTGTTGAGATGCCTCTGGTAAACAAAAGCAACCCGCGAACCAGATTTGAAGCTGAGGGGAAAATTACCGAGCGGCTGGGTAGTTTGGACATGACATCTGAGGCATCGACCAACCCCAGCAACATACGTTCCGTGTCGCAGCCTTACCTCAGATGCGAACTCTCTAATGATACTCGCCCCCCTGTGCCGTCGGTTGCGGCAAGTTCTGACGTTGCTTGCGCGCTAAGCCTCACCATGTCGGCGGCCATTGAAACATGCTCGTTGTTTCGGAACATTTCACGAACCGAAACGTGCGGCACCTGCTGAGTACTCACGAGAGTAAGGTACGGCGAGGGAACTGTTCTTAGAATAGTTCTTGCGGAGTGGTAGAAGTTTCTCCAGTGAGTGAAGTACAAGCGTTGGCGCACATGCGCGCGATGGAGGTTTACAAACGACTCGGCGGTTTTCGAGCCATTTGCCGGCGGCAACATTGTGTCACTTTGGAGCCATCTTTCGGCTTCCTGTTCATGTCTTCTGTCTGCTCCTCGTTTGGGCTGCATCAAGCTCGATTCCACAAGGGAGGCGGAGGTAGAGACTGATCGAAGAAAGGCGCACAAGAGGACAAGTATGGAATCGGGGATGATGAGAAGATGCAGCTGAGAATCACCTCATCGCATGTCAGCGCTTTTCTTTCAGTATCGTGCGCCTCTGACTGGCCCCATCCATCCGTAGACGGGAAGTTACGCATCCAGGAAGCCTTCTCCCGAGCAGTGTTCACATGCGACCCGTCCCAAGCTGGAGGTGTGCCGTCGGTGGTCGCGGACTCCGGAGAATGGAGAGGATTGATGCGAGCGCAAATGAGATGGAAGACCAGGGTTCCCCGCGGAGGTGCTATCCCAAAGCAGACGAACCTCGGCATCCCTTCCCACGACGCCACGCATGATGTTCGCTCAGGTACGAACGTGACAGTGTGCGATTGTCGACTAAGGCAGGTGCTAATCCACACGGCGTCTCTGGATAGGCTTGGTGCTTGGGCGACCGGCATATAAGATGCACTGCACATGGCCGCCCCAACTAGGACGGTACCCACCGCTACCAATCACCATAGCCCCGCGACAGCTGTCGAAGCTCTTCTCACGACGAAGTCGGATCGTACCAAACTACAGTTCTACCAACAAACATACTAAGCAATATGGCAGCTCCAGCAAGTGCTGATATCAAAAAGCTCGAGGGGAAATGGGTCATGGTAAGTTACAAGCAGCTTTGAAGTCTTAGTGTTCTCTGCATCCTTCATCATTTCGTGCATCGCAACGTCGCTCTAACACATCCTAGAACAAGTCACTCTCGGATGCATTTGACGCTGTTCTCGCCCTGCAGGGCATGGGCTGGCTGACGCGTAAAGCCCTTGGTGCAGCGACCGTAACCCAGCACCTCTACCAAACCACCATAGACGGCGAAGACAACACGCCAACGACAGAAATCAAGATCGACCAACTTATCACCGGCGGCATCAAAGGCTCCACCGAGACCCGCATTCTAGACTGGCACTACCGCGAGCACGTCGACCGGCTCTTCGGCACCGTCAAGGGACGGTCGCGCTACATTGCTCTAGCCAAGGCAATCGAAGAAGGAAAGGCTGCAGGTGTGAGCGAGGAAGATGCAAAGTTCGTGGCAGAAGGGTGGTTGCAAGAGACAGAAGAAGGAGATGTTGTGGAGAGCTTTGTGGAGAACGAGGCGAACAAATGGACTGCGTGGCAGATTTGGGGCTTCGCGGATATTGGGGGTGAGAGGAAGTTGACGAGGAAGTTTGTGGTTAGGAAGGTGGGGAGTGATGAGGTTGTTAGGGTTAGGCTTGTATATGACTACACGGGCGCGTTGGATCAGGCGGCTTAAGTCACAGGTCTGTACATACCCGTTAGATTAACCAAAGAGCTGTCATCCCTAATCTGATCTGAGCGTTGTCTTGTGCGTGTCATGGCAAGGCCTCACCCTTCAAATGGGCTATGCTATCCCTCGAGTCGATGATGAGTCGTGCAAGTTCTCTCTCCCATAGTATGTACCACTTTGCACAACACAACACGACCACGAAGCAGATTAGCCGGACCCTCGTACAGTTGAGCTCATGCATGGATACAGATTCCTTTTACTGGTCTGGCTACCTGATAAAGAGCTCTCTTGGTACCACGCAGGTTAGTGGCTACGTCCCATGCTGCACCTGACAGGCTTAAGTACTGCGGTATACCTCTCGCAGCAGGCGCCACAACATCTGCAACTCTCTCCATTCTGTTCTTTTGCAGGTGTTGGTGCAAATTGACATTTTCGCCATGGGCACGTTCAACATGGCCGATACAAGCTTTCTAACGGACCTCTTCCTTGCCCTCATCGTTCTGACGTCTACTATCCTTATCCTGATGCTGGTTTGCCTCGTCATCCGCCTCATCAACCGACACAAGAAAAAGGCCAGCCAGCAACCAGTCCATGAGCCCGCTCTACTCGATCTTGAGTCCGGTCGAGAGTATCGCCTATCGCATCGCCTTTCGCGGCAACAAATACAACAGGAGCACTACGAAGACCTACAGCAACGCTACTCGTCCGTACCGCCATCACCATCAATCGAACTACTGCCCGAGATCAAGACGAGCGCGAGTGATGACAGAGCGAGCGAGTGGTTGGAACGCGGAGCTACGGACGAAGGCATCAATGTGGTTCATGGGGATTTGGGGGAGAAGAAGTCGGAGATGACACAGGCGGTGGTGGTTAGGCCGAAGAAACAGTTGAGGTGGGAGTGGAGGGATGGGAGGGTGGATAATGGTGCTGTGCCGAAGAGATCTAGAGTTATTGAAAGGATGGATAAGGATGGGATCGTGTGTAGGGAGTATCGGACGGAATGAGAGACTGGATGAAGGGGTTGGTGGAGACATCTAGAGGTAATTGTAATGAAGACAGTGTCGAGCAATGTATCTCTCACTATCTCATGTCAGCATCTCGGAATACTGGCATAGTCGAAGGAACGTTGGCGCGTGGAGGTATCGTGCGACTGATCCAAAGTGCCCCCTCGCTGCGCCTATATTGTCGCGCGACTGTGGTATAAAGCCGCTTGCATGCTGACGTGGCTTATCATCTTAGTCCGGGAGCACAGAGTAGGACTTACGTCCGCAATGGTAGCTATGACAGCTGGTACAAGTGCTGTCAACTCCATGGTAGCTCAGGCTGGACTGTAGGATTGGTGTGAACACAAGTAAATCCTGTCTGCTAGTAGCGCTGTTATCATATCCTACCTATAGCCAGTGGTATTGTAGGCGTTGTGTGACCGCGAAGACTAGTGCATGGTCTTGTGTCCCCCCCTTTACCCGAGTCCTGATCGTACAAATGATACGCTGAGCTCCATAGACCAGCAAGCAAATACAGTACCTTTGTTCTATGAAACCCTGGGGTTTTAGACACTCTCGACATCGACGGAATCTGACACTGTGTATCATAGCGAACACTGGAGGAGACCATATTGATGTCGACACGCATCCGTACCCTGATATGCCGGAAAGCCTCTACGGCAAGGCCTCGGAGGTTCTCAATGCGGACGTTGGTTCCAGAGAGAGTGGCCACACAACTTCGCTGATTGGCGACATACCGATGACTACACGCCTCACCTCATCAGCGCGCTCTCAGCAAACACAACCTTCGATACTGGTCCCATCCATGTATAGAGATACAACGCCAGGAGACACACACCCTATTGGCGCCATTTTTGCGATTGTGCTCGCTGGCATCATCGGTCTTGCAGTCCCGATCACCCTCTTGACAAGATATCTGAAACGCGCCAGACAGGAACAGAAGCAGATAGAAGAAGAAGACGCGGTCCTGGAGGATGTGTTACAGCACAGCCAACTCAAGTCAAGAGCGTGGAATGTGGGGTTGAAGCGACTGCACAAGGCCTCCATCAGAAAGTGATCCAACGAGGAGGCCAGTGCTCAGTTGGTGGGTGTGTTTGGGCGGCCGAACTTGGATACGAAGACACCCTGGTTGCAAGGCTGCGCGGAGCGCGAGATGCTGGAGAAGCTATTTGAGCGAGAGAATAGGGTGCGTAGAGGTAACAGGGAAAAACCATTGCCAGTGTGCCCGGAGTGATATCGAGAGCGGCGAGACCGTTGGCATTGATAACCGGTGATGCGCCCATCGAGCAGCGGTTGTCAAGTACGAGTAAGCGTAAGCGTACGCGCACGCTACATGTATTTACCTGTTCTTGGGCGTCTGTTTGTGGCTTCGGGTAGTGGACAGTATGCGATTCAAGAAAGGACTGCAAGGCGAAAGACATGGATCCTCCATACATGTATGCTGCTCCATCAACGATTCGCATAGAATTGGTACAAGATAAGATTTGTGGCGACCTCAAACAAAGAGAGAGCTGGATGGGTCTGGAGCCTACACTGACATTGGGTCGCCTACTTTGCAAGTTTTCATCTTGATGCAGGTTCCATGGTGTTTAGAGTTTTCCCTGAATGAGGTGTGGCTGGTTGCTGTGGTGAAATAGTGAGGCGTTCTTAATGTCCGGAGATGTCTGAGGATGAAGAAGAACAGAGACGACGGTGACCGTAGACAGAAAGCGTACGTAAGCTCGCATTAGAGTGGTCTGCATCGAAACTCGACTGCACGTCGATCAGCGGAGATGCAGATGCAGGGGTGAAAGACGTTGCCCAGCGGTAAGAACGTGGTAAGACGGTTACGCTAGGCTGCAGCCGAGTTAGCGTAGAAGCTTGGACAATCGACCAAATTTCACAACTGGGTAAACAAGAGCTGTTTGGGTTCATTTACTTGAACTATTCTTTCTCTCGCTCGATAATCACACGCCCGACGCGCCTGAACACGAGATCCTGCATCTAAGCGCTCCTTCTCCCATCCACAACTGCGACTTCCCCCCAAAGCAGCTGCCCGCCCCGCTCGCTTCTACCACCCGCCGACACCCCACTGACGACCTCGGAGCACACGAGCTCTCACACCACCCTACGCGCACCATGTCGGGCGAATTGGATATCGACTTCACGCGCCGAAACAAGAAGCCGCGCCCGCTTTCAGACCACGAGAAGGAAAAGCTGGATGAATTTGTCGACGCGATTCATTACTCGGCGAGGTGGGTTGTCAACACAAGAGGCGGTCAGCGCGTTTTCTTTATTGACCGCGAACACAGATACTCGGACGACGCATACGAATACCGCCATGTGCAGCTGCCTAAGCAAATGCTAAAGGCTATCCCAAAAGACTACTTCGACGGCGCGCGAGGCACACTGAAGCTGCTCTGGGAGGAGGAATGGCGGGCACTGGGCATCACACAGGTACGCGTGATTAAAAGACAGGCTGCAACATATATGCTGACTTGGGAACAGAGTCTGGGATGGGAGCACTACGAGGTCCATGAGCCAGAACCTCACATTTTGCTTTTCAAGTACGTTGTGTCAGAGCATACGCCGCGCGCTGCAAGCTAATTCTCCAACAGGCGACCGATCAACTACCAGCCTCCCATGCACTGATTCAACATCGAACCGCGGCGCAGCCCGAGGTCTACTTCACATTGACCGAACACGCGCAACAGCTGCGCACACCACCACGGCACACGAGACGGTCTATTCGCGATACCTTCTTTATCCATTTTCAGCGAGGCGCGTTAAACATAACGACGATATGATTACGGTGGTATGATCGATGCGCTGGGGTTGTAGGTTTACGACCGGGTCGAAAGCGCGTCTCTATATCCATTATGATAGGGTACCCGAAGCCCACAATTGTACATATGGCCGAGGCAGGAGGTGCAAGGAGTACTGGACATTGGGCAAGAGAATATGGATTAGGTATATGGTTGTTAATTGCTATGCGGATTTACGATAGATCCATAGCTCCTTCACCTGGTCCGAATTTGATACTTGTTGAAATGACCATTTTGCACCAGAATGCCCCGGAGAGCGCAACTTGACGTATGCATACTCATACGGACCGAATCTAGCGTGTTCCACACCCTCCTCGCTTTCTGGTATACCCACATGTCAATCTCGGTCCCTGCGTAAGTTTTTCTTGATCTATTTGCTTGTGTTTACTTGATAGGGAAGAGAATCTTGAGTCAACCCCAACAGTAAACATATGCGGACAGGCCAACATTAAGCACCATGGCAATGCCTCTATAGCTCCCGGCGCTTTCTTCGGACGCGAGAGTAACATGCTCGTTGTCGCTCCGTGCTAGATAGTGTCCATTGCGGCCATCTAGAACCAGGGTTTTACCGCCATATCAATCTAGAATCTGAGGAAGTTCAACTTATGAGTAGATCTTGAAGATCAATCAGCCCGAATCCAAGGTTACGATATATTGCCGGTCTCAAGAGTAAGCTAGTGGCAAGGAGATGCTGACTGTAGATTCACGACAAATTGAGGGTTCGTCATCCTACACGTATTCCTGCAGCGGTGGCTAAAGATTGATGTTGTGGGCTTAGGCTTCGTCTACGATGTGTTGGCACTTTGTTACCTGGGCATTGTCAAGGTATACCTGGCTCCTTTTATATGCTCAAGCAAACACGACGTAAGAACTCCAACAGCTAGGAGGCAGGTTTTTGGACTACCGAGTCAAGGACTCTCGCATACATCCAGTGGAAGTGCGCGAAAAATGATTAGACTGACTCTTCAGAGGGCGCAATATGTAGTCGTGACGACGGAGTGAATGATTCACACTCCGGAGAAAAGCGGCCCGACTTTCCTTGAGATGTCATCAGCCTGGGCAGAATCCACACCCTCTAGCCTCTCACATGCGGATCTGCGCTTAAAGATCTCGTAATGTCAACCACGAACCCATGGTCTTTCAAATCTACATGCGGTTGAGCGGACGGATCTCATTCCGGTACCTAGGCCAGTCGCAT